GAGGAGGAGGGGGGGGGGGGGGAAGGAAAGAGGAGGAGGGGGGGGGGGGGGGGAGAGATAGAATCACCTAGTTTAAACAAACAGTAGATGACACAATAAACCAATGTTTGGACATCACTACTTCAGATTGTAGGTAGAAACTAGGAGGCAAGAAAACAGAAACAGAAAAAGAATTGATAAAGTAGTTGATAACCTGGGGGGGGGGGGAAAAGGGAAAGTAAGATTGTAACAATGAAGTTTTGGGAAAGATTGCACCAAAGATGCGAAGAAAAAATTAGAACAATTGGTTAAAACGAAAACACTCCAGCTAAAATTGTAATATAAATACTATGCCAAAATTAATATAGTGATGCTGATCTTTTGAATTGGTAAAGATGTAAAAATGGCTCAGAATAATGTGCATTGCTTACCTCAGTTATATGGTACTGAGTTATATGAATTTACAATGAAGCAAGTCAGATGCGTTTTGTCTAAATATACAATCATGTGTCTTGTTTAGAGACTACTTCAAGACTGAACTCTTAGACATATCTCTTCATCTCTGAGCAACTTCCACAGTTGATATGTTTATATATTCACACCAGCCATTACAACTTATCAATGATTACAATAGAAGTGGTCCATTACACCTAAATGAAGCTGGTAAGTCTATTAAAATGCACAGTATATAGGTTAACTAATAAAGTGTATGCAATCTATACATTTATACCATTTAAGATCAATTTTTCTTTACTGAAAGATGCCACATTACCACATGAGAATATAGTTCCAGGAAGGGATTTTAAACACCTTTGTTTCCCCAGTGTATCTACTGGCTGGAGCCAAAGCAATATCTCCAGTAACAGCCAGGTGAGGAAAGCCTTGCTATACAAGAGACAAACACTTCACAACTGTTGAAGCAGCCATAATTTTCTCTGAAATTTGACACGAACTGTAAAAGCAGAGCAATATGTACGATTCAGAGGAACACTTCCATTTACCCTTGCTTTGCCCTTATAATTAATTCATTTTATATTTTAAATTTATTGGAAATTTCAACTAACACACAGAGTTTTAATAAATATTCTAATGTACTGTAATAGCCTTCCCCAACCTGATGCCTTCAAGTCTGATGTGAATTTAACTTCTCAAAATCCCATCATTCTGGCTGCAACTTCTGGGAATTGCAGTCTCAATACACCTGGAGAATGCCAGGTTGAAAATGATAGCTGTAAAAAGTCAGTGTGAACACTGCATTTATAGATATAAACACTGACTGGAAGTAGGTTGTTATTAATTAAATCCATTAACATCTTTGTTAACTTAGCTTCTCCTTAACCTTGTCCCAAAATGCCAGCTTTCTTAGACTTATTTCAGCAAATCAACATTTTTTGATAACACATTTATTATGATGGATTTGCAGTTATTTTTATATACCTAATTGAAGCACATAATTATTACAATTATTACTCTAGGATACATGAACATATAGTACTGCTCCCCACCCCTCCCCGGAACATGAAGAATTATCTTAAACTTAAGCTTAATACACAAGCAATCATTTTAATGAAGTAAATTTACTTTCTGTGCCTTTTTTATTTTTCCTCATATTGCTGTTTTTGCAGATTTCCTGCCAATAAACTCATTTGCTGTGGCACTGAAGAAATGTGAACCTCTTAACATTTAAATTAGTCAAAATAAATTCAAATTTTCCCTAAGGCAAATATTCATGGAATGTTTTGAGGTGCATATCCAGATATGGTACCACAATCTTGTTCCAGAATTAATGGAAAATCTATGTTCTTAACAAACATCATCTGATCAACCTATTTTTTTAGTCTCAGAATTCCAAGAATAACCCTTAGAACTAAGTAATGCCAATTGCTTTATTCTACACTTACAGAAATATTGGAAAAAATGATTATTTTTTTTTAATATTGAAGGAATGCCCTAAAATGCCACTAGGAGTCACTATTGAAAGTGATGATAAACAATAGCTGTAAATATTTAGCTAACACCGACAGATGTGGATTGTTATTATTTCAATTTGAAACACAAATATTCAAAACAGCAGAATGTACTACAGCACTGAAATGAAATTATCTGTGAAATACTGAGATAGATCCAATTCATATTCAATCTTCACATGCAGCACAATCACTACTTTTCCTATTGCTTGGCCCCCCATGTTGCTGCTCCACAGTAACTTCCCCTTGGGCTCTGAGTTACATACCTTGTCACTTATTCAACAAAAATCAGGGGGAAAAAAAAGGGTGTACATATATTTCCATAACTGATAAAATGTTATTCCAGGAGAGACCTCCTTTATGGGCACATACTAAAATAGCCTCTGATGATGAAATAAAAATGGTTTGCAATAATATATAAATATACCACAGCAATATTAATAAAAATCCGGGAAAGGCTTTCAATTTTTGTTAGTCTAAACTAGGGTGAGCAAGCTGCAACCTAGGACCATATGTATTTCTCAGCTAATTTAACATACCCTCAGCTGAATTTCAAAAGCATTTTACAGAACTGCCCCTTCTGTTAGTGGCTATTGTAAGTGAAATAAGAGAGTATCAGAAATAGAAGAAAAAGGGGTCAAAACGAAGAAAAGGGAGCCTCAGAAAAAGAAGTTATAGGGCTTCTTTTGGCACTGCCCTAGCTTACTGCTTGTTTTAATCCTATCCACTAGTGACCTGTGGTTCCCAACAGATGAGAACATCAACAGATAAAAAGTTCCCCACTTCCTGGTCAAATTTCTAATTCTATTTAACTAATTATTTCAACCTGCCTAGCAACCAGCAGCTGTTGCAGACAGTAGGATTTAACTATCTGGGCTCAGAACTTCATTGACCTTTCATGTTCTCACAGTCCTTTTAGGCATAAAAATTATCAAAATGGTGTTTACAGTTCGTCTTCCCTTAAGCTCTCAGATCACAGAGATCAGGATGTGTCATTATGTTATGCCCCCATGCACAGGATTTTACATTACCTCCACTACCACCACCACCCCTTGGAAGGGGGAAGGAGATTCCTTTTTACACAGTGTGTATCTTGTGTGTTGTTTTCAGTTTTATTGGCTAGCAGGAGGCAGGCCTCATGTGACTGGTTTTATCCTATTTTGGACTTGTGGGACATAAGTAGCTAGATGTTATGCTATGGGGTTCAAATCCTCCATCAGGAATTGAATTCAAGGATGTTTAGGACAAAACCAGTCATGTAATGCCTGTCCCCTAGTGGTCAATGCAACTATACACAAAAATGTTGCACTGGGCACTACCTATCTGTGGTCAGTGTACAAAAGGCAGAGAACACTGTCAATGTAATCTAGAATCCTAATATCAACCCACATTTAGTAAGTGTTGATATTTATCTTGTCGTCTACAGCAAATCATTGGAAATTTTCTTTTCATAACTTTGATATAATTTGCAGTTTGGTCTCTGCCCTCCAAATGGCTGGGAATGGGACCGCAACACTTTCTGTCCTGTATTCTAAATATGGAAGCAGATGTAGACTAATATCCTGCATAACTGGTAGTATGTTACTGGGAATTGCCAATTATTTATCTAACCATCAGTCACCTGGCATGTGGAGATGGCATGAAAAGAATCTCTAGTTAAATCATCTTTCTAAAAAACAGAAAGGGCTGAATAAATATCTATTCTTAAATGAGAATTCTGCATCCTAAGCATATCCCACAGGGAAAATAGATTGCTGTTATTCAAAATGTTGGTAATCTATCTCCATCAAGAAAGGCACTTAAAATAAAAAAAAGATAACTGGAAAATATTAACACCAAGATCTCCAATAGAAACATTATATTGCATTTTATTTTGGGATTTTAAAATATAGTTTAGTTATGTTTACTAGTAAGCAGTTTCTTTCATTACTGCCTCATACTTTTATAGTTATCAAGACAAATCAGAAGAATGGACACCTGTTTTCATCTGTCAGAGCACAATAAGCAAATGACAGTACTTAAATCACACAATAAATATCAGCCCACTGTGTTACAATATATTTAAAAGGATGAATGAGCTTTTAAAACAACAAGCCTGGAAGATATTCCCAGCGATGCAGAATTAGCAAAACAACTATGCATCTGGTATTAATATATGAAACACTATGATTTCCCATAGATATACAAGAAGGATATATGAAGGAAGATTATTTGATTATACTGATGGAAGCATAAATTATTAGATGGTCAATATCTGCTCAAAATTGCCAATTATGTGCTGATCCTGAAGCAGACTTCTTTATGGGTATTTCATGTAGCATTTCCCACATCATCTTCAGAGAAAAATGGAGAATAATAAACATTTGAGAAGACGCTACCTGTTTATGGAGATGCTTGGAAACACTGATTGCACCTGCTTTTTTTGTCTGCTCTCTCAGACTGTTGTGTCACAGTTCATCCCAGGATAACGTTTAACTAAAACAAACCCAGGCATAAATCAGCATGACCCAACTGGCCTCAGCAGATTAGCTCTGTAACTTGTGGTAAAGAGCAGCCCCAGTGAATTTTAAAGAGCTAAATCTTCTGCTGCAGTTGCTAATCTAAATACGGTGGTACATTTGTCTACAATGAGGGAAGAGGATGTGAAAGTTTTGTTGCATGACCTATAACAACATGAAAGAAATGCATGAAAGAAAAAGAAGCGCAAGATTAACATCATGTGAACTTAAATTCCATTGGGGGGGGGACTTTGTTTTGGAATGTTATATTTACCTTGTGCGGCCTTTTGCATGTGCCGCTGGGTTATCTCTTCTTTCAGATGATCTGTGTGAAAATCAGAGTCCAAATCACTTAGAGAATTTTCAGCATCTCAGATTTCAATGTTTAAATAATAACTTTGTATACTTTTTACTCCCTTGCATTGACCCCAGAGATTACTAATAAAGAGATCTCTCTCTTTACTTTGACTATGCTAATATGTTTAGAAACATTATTTAGTACATATTCTGAAAATAAATGTTCCATGAGAATGGCAACAGTGGTGCTTGTTGCTATATAACACCTATATACATGAAAATCTGCAAGTCAAGCAACATGCAGTCCCAGGAACATATTAACAACAGTAATGGAAACTACATTATTAGCCTCAATACTGCCCTAAAATAATGGCATATTCCAAAGGCTATTATAAATGTTTGTGGTATTGTTCCTTTTAATTTGAAATGCTTGGGACTTAATCTGTCTCTACCATTAAGCTGTGGTCCTTCCCCTCAAATAGTACTTGAGCGGTAGTCCCTTCTCCAGAATTTTGCCTAGCTGTGAATTTGCCTCACAATATATACTCTTGAAGCAAAAAGGGCCTACATGAAGAATCTGATCTTCAGGTTTTCTTTCCTTCTGATCATTTAATAGTTCCTAAATATATTCTATACTAATTTTCATTCCTTATGTCAAACTTTCATAAGACACTTGTAAACTTTTAATAAATGCCATCTAAAGCACTTAATTACTGAAGAAATTAATTGTGTATCTCTCACTTATTTTTTAAATAAAAAGAGCATTTTTTAAGAAATGGATAAAACTCTAAAACCCGATCCAGTTTGCTTGTCATAAAAATGTAATGAACTGAAACAGCTTTCTGGGAGCATTCATTTATATTCTACATTGGATTACAGCTGGAGGAGAAAAAGATACACCATAAGGGTTCAAATCATATTGATAATTTCATTGTAAATAATGTTTTTGCTAGTATTAGAAGATCCATGCTAATTCCTAGCTTCCTGGGGAACATATATGATAAATGTGAGAGCACAAAAGATTCCAGAATAAGTTTTAATTATGGCTATTCTACTGGAAAAAAAAACGTGTTGGCTAAAATATATATTTTTATTCTATGTGTTACATGAAAATGTACACATGAGAACTTATACATAAAAGGAAAAGAAGAAAAAAAGGAGGCCACAATGAGAAAGGTCCAAAAGGCTATTCTACAGAGATCCATGAGAGGGAGGGGCAAATAACAAAGCATGATGTCATGATGCATTTACAACAGACATCAGGGTGCAAGTATAGAAACACAGGATTTGCATTATGATGTCACTGTGCACCTTTTGACATAATCTCATTTGCTATAGATATATATGTGATATTCCCTGCATGAAATATGGGATGGCCATTATAATTTTACATGAGATGATGTCTGAAATCAAATCAGTAATAACTCTACTGATTAAAAATAAGCTAGTAAAGAATTCCACAGATATAACTAATTACAAAAAGTAGTTCTAAACCATGGAAGAATAAAAAATAATAATACAATTTTGGAAAAAGTTAGCACATATTTGCCACATGTAATTTTGCAAGATGTCCAGCTGGAAATTGAAGAATGGAAAATATAACTGATTACAATTTAGAATTGTCTAGCATATACTTTAAGAAAAGTTGTATAGGAGTATGTTTTAATATAGTTATTCCAGAAAATTAAACCCAAAGTTAGTCCCAGGATCCAACTGCGGTGCCTTACACTGGAAACCTAAATCAAAAGTTGCTAAGCAAAAGGAATCCCAGAGACCTGCTACAAATTTGTGAACAACTTTGATTTCGTTAGGAATTAAGGTAATTTTTAAACATTTATTAAATACTATCTATATATTGATCATAAGTGTGGGGTGAGATTAGGTACAGAACTATTATAAACAATATCCTGCAAGCATCCTGGTTCAAAAGCATACTTAATTTGCCCCAAAGAATAATACTGATGTCTGGAAGCAGGTTCTGCATACTGATTAGCTCCACTGCTAACATACCTACTGATGGAGGTATATGCATTTAGTATCTCAGTTGGGCTTTTGTATCATGCAATCATTGTTTAACCAAAATGAAGAAGTCATGTGTGAAAAACTAAGTACACCCTTACTGCTTCCATAGGTATGAAGAGGCTAAGTAGCA